ACACAATATGTATACATATACATACATTGCTGTTATCTTAATTATATGTAATAAAAATGTAAATATATATATATATATCGTCACTACCTTAACATATTAAAGTAGTGACATATTTACAGATACATCTGTTTTGTCTTTTGTTATTTTACATTAGGTTTTTCTATGAATATGTATTTCAGATGGGAGCAGAGAAACACGTTTCGTTTAATAATGGATTAGACGGATCTGTTGCAGAAGATTGTTTCTTTGCAATGAAGGCATTTTCCCAGGGATATACGTTCAATTTTGTGGATGGCGAAATGTGGGAAAAATCGCCGTTTTCTCTGTGGGACTTTGTTCAGCAGAGAAAAAGATGGCTGCAAGGTATATTACTTGTTGTGCATTCCAAAGCGATTCCATTGAGAAAGAAGTTGTTGCTGGGTATTTCGTGTTACTCGTGGGTAACGATGCCTCTTTCCACTTCTAACATTGTTTTGGCCGGATTGTGTCCGATCACTTGCCCGCCGTTGATCGACTTTCTTTGTGCGTTTATCGGTGCAGTAAATATCTATATGTATGTGTTTGGAGTAGTTAAATCATTTTCCTTATATCGTTTTGGTGTTGCCCGATTTATGCTGTGTATATGCGGTGCATTATCCACTATTCCATTCAATATAATTATTGAGAATGTTGCCGTGATATGGGGTTTGTTTGGTAAGAAACACAAGTTTTATGTCGTTAACAAGGAGTACAGACCGCCAGTGACCGTATGATGCGTCATCAGTTTAGAACTATTATCTAACTGGTACATACTTAGCAACAGAGTAATGTTTCCATTGTGCATGTGCATAATTAGTACCTGTAAATTTACATAGGAAACTATCACTGTCACAAACAAAATATTTGCAACTAGTATTACATAAGAGAATTACAAGATTCCTAAGACAGATTGATTAATCAATTTCAAAACAGGCATAATTCAGGCATAAATAAAATGTGTAATTTATACAGCAATAGATAAACGCAGTATTAGAAACGTATTCTACATTGGCATTAAAACATAACCAAATTTGTTAAAAGTATTAATATGTCAAAAATATATTTATACTAATATCGTATTCTTATAGTGCAAATTATACAGGTCATATATACTTTGATCTCATAAATGTCGTGTGAATGAGTAGCATTCGTTAAGTTACATATCATTTTATATGTTCCTTTCCATGCATCAATTTTCTTATCGTGTTCAGATACGTTTTATTTTTGCCATATCACAGTAGTTTCTTCTTAATATTCACTTAATATTTCACGAAGTCTTACATACTTATATACAATAATTTTATATTAATAACAATGTCCGAAATGTTTACTTCAGACATTTTCTATTTTTTGAAAATAGTATTATAATAAATCATTTAAATGCATAATTCGGAAAACTGTGATCAATTTTGCTTTTCTATAAAAAATTAAAACTTTAATTATAAATTTGATACAAAAACACATTAGAAAATTATGTCTAAAGTGAGTCGCAAAATATTTAATTACTTGATATCGAAGTATACATATATAATAGTTTTGTGTTATTTTGAATTTTACATAGTTTTAATTAATGACAAAACATAATAGTACATTTACATCAACAATATAATTGATAGATATAAATATATATTGTACTTAATAAGGCTAATTTTATCGTTTTACAAGATATGAAAACCCTTAAAAATATAACATGTATTACATGTTACGATTCTTGATCAAATTAAAAAATTATCTATTTCCTATAATTAATTAATGTTTTAAAGGTTATAAATTATTAAAATATTGTGAGAAAGGTATAAATTTTAATAGAAAGACAAATATAAAAATCCAAATTAATTTTGTGATATTTATTAAATTAAATGTTAATTATTAGATTGCCATATTCTTAAAATTTGATAATCATAAGGCGATATTCATCAATCGTTCTTATATTTAAAATCGTTTTAAGTAGTCTTATGATGTCACAAACCCATCACAGGGCCGTATTGGCATCTTAAGACATTATATAAGACGATCTTAAAATAATAACGGACTATGAACCAGTCATATTCTTAACAGAAAATGTGAATCCAACGTTAAATTTTTTAGGTAATGTGATTTTGTTATGCACTGCATAAAGTTTTACTTATTGTGCAAATAAAAGGAATCACGTGTGAAAAGTACACACACACACGCGCGCGCGCACACACACATACACACATCACATATCATATCAAAGTTTTCGAAAAAATAAATTATATTTACTATTTTCTGTTTCCAGCAGTAGCTTTTGAGATAGAAAAGTTTAAAACTAATTAATTATAAATTATGGTTAAATGGCTGTCTGTCCGTGAGTCGCGCATCGACAGTGTTAGTGATCGCACGTAATAACTCACGGAAAGCTGTTTCGTAATCGTAATCTGTAATTAGTCAGTTTTAAACTTTCTATTTCTAGAACTACGACTCGGAATAAAAAATGGTAAATATTTTTTAACTTATTTTTTTCGAAAACTTCCTTGCTATAGTATTTTGATTCGTGAATTTCGAAACACTCTTTATGTATATAATATAATCATTTTGTTACAATTGTATGTACATGTCTATGAAACATTTTGTATCACATTTATATTAATTCATCTTTTAAATAATTTTTTAAATGGCTTTTTAACTTACTTAACTTACTAAACAAATTAGGGCTTCCTAAAGTTTTACGTTAATATAAATCATATAATGTACATTTTTCAGAACTCTAATAAATATATTTTATGATTTAACACAAAAATAGATTGTTTTAAGAATAATAAAGCAATACATTTAGTAAGACTTATAATATCTAGTCAAGAAAATGTAAAGCACGTGAAATTTCTATAATGCATGTATAAATAATTAACATAAACTTTTATTAGCACTGTTTAGTGCGGTAAGGTATTATTTCTAAATATTTTGTGTTCAAATGAAAATAGAATGATACTTCTGCAGATATTTTAAAGAGTTTTTCATTCTTTACTAATTACATTTTAATGAAATTTTACACATATGTATAGATTAATATTAGTTGATTAATGCGATTTTAAATTACTGTGTTCGACACTTAGAAATGTGTTTATGCTAAAGCATAATTAACATTGTAATATTAATATTATGAACAGGGCCGTCGCTAACATATACGGTGTCTTTGTGCAAAGAGGATTTTGCGGTTTCTCTTAATATTTTTATTTATCAATCTTTTAAATAAGCTATTTTTAAAGATAACTTTATAATATCTTTAGAAAAGGCATAATTTTTTTATTTTTGTTCTATTTTGTAGGATATTGTAACTTTTTTTAGAGCGGAATTATAAAAATGCAAGTTTTTGTCATTGAAGTCACAGAGCAATTTTCCATTTTTCACATTTTCGCCATAGGGAAAATGTTATATGATCAGTATTCTGGTGCTAAAATAACTCTGTATGTACTGAAAGATTTTAATAGCATTGCAATTTTATGATAGCGATTTTAAAAGAAATTAAATCTGACAGAAGCGAGCATATGCAGTTACAGGAATAGAGAATTGATTTTTCAAATTTAATTTGGCAACCCTCCCTCTTGTTGCGCATTTGTGCAGTACACACTTGTTTGCGACGCCCTGATTGCAAAGATCATTACAACTTATATAATAATATTATAGCACATTCTCCATGTAATTATCTTTTGTTATAATAGGATATATCATTTGATAGTATAGCAATTACTATTACATATAATATTATATAATCATAGATCCGTGTGTTGCATTGCGCTATGTAGGTTGTAAGATATTCGCACATATACGAAGTATGTTTTTTAAGTATTTTATTTTGTCACACAGTGAATAATGAAGCTCACACACTAGTCTCGTATCTCAGCCATTTATTTCATTATCCTAATAGCGATATCAGTTTATAAATTGAAAATAATAAATGTTAATGCACACTAAAGTGTAAAATCTATATCAATTCGGGAGATAAATATCAGGATTTCTCAAACTCGATTAGATGAATCTATTCTTTTTTTATCAATATTTTTTTATTCTTAAATGTTATTCCAAAAGATCATGACAAATAAATGTAAGAGGAATTTACAAATCTGTAAAACAGTTTTGAAATTGGTTAAAAATGTTTAACTTATATTTCTTCTTGGTGTAAAAAATTCATGTCTATCATGCAGCAATTATGAGTTTGGGAATCTCTGAATCACTTCTGAATCAAACGGATTAAATTGAATAAAGCAACAATATGTCTTTTTTGTTATGCGAAGAATAAGAACAAGTTATATCACGTAAATAACAATATAACTGTATTTAGTATTATTCTATGTAATCTTATGTAATTATTTTTTATGTAAACTGTCAATTTGTCTTTTATCAGATACGATTTTATTTTTGTTACAAACACATGTAATAATTAATCAATGCATCTTAAGAGACCAGTGATTAAACCAGTGATTAAATTATGTTACATAAAATTTCTCATATCATGTAGAGTATTAAATTAAATAAAGAAATTTGCAGTTATCAAAATCATAATCACTATGAAATTCTGAATTGTTATGATAATTGCAATTGACTATAATAAGAGTAATGTTAAGAATTTTGGATGATACATGATATTAAAAAAATAAAAAAGAAAATTTGAAGTAAAAATTACTTCACAATAAATGTCTGTATCTTTTATTCTCAAATTTATAAAACTCCATTTTTAATCTTCCTCGTTATCCCGCCTAACATTTGATATCTTAAATTCTCGACCTAAATCTTTTTTCTTTCTTACAACTACAATTTGTATCTAATGAAGCAATGTATTTCAAAGAATAGCATATTGTTTAAGCAAACACATAGCGTAATTATCCAAACAATATTTGATACATTTATTACTTCGTAATATCAACAAAGTACAGAATATTTTATATAAAAGACTTCTGTGAAAAATGAAATATTTTTCAATAATATTACTATAATACACACATTATTAACAATACAACAAAATGTTATCGCTTCTTATATGCACATGATTTCAATGTAATTGGAGGAAGATTTTTTCTTTTCATGCTTATATCTTCGTCTTTCTTAAAATCCATAAAATAAAACAGGTTATGAGATAAGTCTTTCCATGTATTTTTAAAACCATAATGGCGTAGTAATCTTATAAAATCTTTTACATCCTCGAATCTGCTTTCGACTTCGGCTATTTTCAAGATCCCACTAAGTTGATATAAAAGTAATTAATTTCTTATATTATATTGCCATCATATCAATCAAGAATACCATTAATACTCACTTGTTTTTAAGAACCCTGTTAGCTTCTATTATATAATCATTAAGATTAGATCCCATTAAGGAGAGACAAAAGACAACAACGTGGACGCTGTTCATTAATAATGGAGTATGAATCATATCACAAGCTTTCACTTTGTCATTTAGAGCAATGAAATCAAACGAATGTACTGTATGAGGAACAGAAGCTGCGAGCCGGGCTTCACCACATCCAAAATCAGCGATTGCATTGTCTGTTGGCCTGCAATTATTAAGACATTATTAGACATTCACACTTGCATAAATTTCGTTTAAGGTTAAGGTATAATATACAATTTTTTAATTGATGATATTATAACATCCAGTGGATTTATCGGCCATTGTTCAATTTGCTGTTTATATCCTGCGTGATAAGCCATAAAACTATCAGGTTCTTTTTGAAAATAATGTTTAGATTGTGAACTGTCATTATTGTACAATGTCTCATTTATAAACCTGAATCTGGATGCTTTTAACTGCATTTGCATTCTATCTCTCAGAGTAAGTTTTTTATCTCTTAGAGTAGATTGTGTAACTTTCGTTACTTGCAATTTATTTTCGAGCATTTTTTTTAAATATTTGATATTTATTTTATGTTTGTTCAGCTTTAATATATCAGATTGTATCTGCTGTGTTTCTACTTTAGTCGACATCTGTTTCATATTCTCTTCATTGTTCCCTTCAATTAATTTGCTCATCATAAACTTAAGATCTTTTACCTCCATTTGTAATTTTTTAAGCTTTTCTTCTTTTTTTTTAATGCTTTTGCTTCCATTATCTTCTGAAGAATCATCTTCATCGTCTTCATTGATTCTTACATCATTCTTATTTGTAGGATTAAGATTCATGTCCTGTTTTCGTTTTTTATTTTTTTCACATTTTATTTTAATATTTGAGTTATTTTGTACTTTTGATATTGTTTTCTTATCATCCTTTGGATAGTTTGTTGGAGCATTTGCGTTTTCTATATATTTTGCATCAAGTTTATTTTTTTTTAAATCACGTAGTTTTTTCTTTTTACTTTTTTGCATATTTGTAAATATATCCTTTGTTATTTCATTAGAGATACTTAGTTTCTTTATATTATTTTTATTATTCTTTGAATATTTTGTTAGAGAATCTGAATTTTCTGTATATTTTGCATCAAGTTCATTTTTAGAATCATATGACTTTTTCCTTTTATTATTTTGCATATTTGTAAATGTATCCTTTGCTATTGCATTAAATGTATTTAGTTTCTTTAAGTTATTTTTATTATCCTTTGGATATTTTGTTGGACCATCAAAATTTTTTGTATATTTTGCATTAAGTTTATTCTTAGAACCACGCGATCTTTTTCTTTTATTATTTTGCGTATCTGTAAATATATCCTTTGCTATCTCATTAGATACACTTAGTTTGTTTAAATTATTTTTATCTATATTATTCAATGATTCTATATTAGCTTTCTTTTTCCTTCGATTTCTTTGTTTCTAAAACAAAATTCAAAACAATCTTGTATATTTTCATAAATTCAAAATGTAAAATAAAAGAATTAAAGAGATTTATTAAACATCACATTATTTAAGAAATAACAAAAACTCGATTACCTTCACGATGGATGTTTTCGTACTTTGTACGGCAGGCGTTTGTATGTCCTGCAGAGTTTTTTTTAATTTTGCCATTATCTTGTCGAATTAAAAAATCAGAGTCGTTTATCATAAACCACACTATTTGCTAAATACTCCAGAGAAAAGAACCACAACACGTGTCTCTCTGTACGAATAGACGCCGTTCGAGAGACGAGAACTGGCGAGACACGCCGATCACTCCGATCCACTCCAATCGGAGTCAACTGTCAACTTGCCAACTGATGCCTGCTGGTGTCAATTGTTAGACACTAGTATCCCTGAATCTATAGGAAGCATTATTACATTCTCTTCTCTACTGTCGGTAAAAGCTTTTATTAGAAAGTCGATCAATATAATAGTTTCTATAATTAGTTAATAAATATTAATTATAAAAATAGTGAAATTTCCTCGCATTATTTATAAAAAAATATATGAATCGACAATTTTTAAATAGTAAAAATTATAAAAAATACTAATTTAAAAGTTATCTTAGTAGGATAAATTATGTAACTTACCAGTAATTTATATATAAGTAGTTTTGTCTTTTAAGTTCAGAGGTGCTAGTGTCTAATTTTCAATATGGCGACGAAGTCAATATGTCGTTATGTTATATATAACGACATATAATATAATAGATTACGACATATTATAATAGATTACGTTTTGTGTCTCGATACTCTCAATACGGTTAATTGCAGTGAATTGCGGTTAATACGGTATCCAATCAATAGAGCAGTGGTCCAAATATTTTTCTCCTTTTAAATACTGTCCTGTCCGCTCTAATCCGAAGCAAGGACTATTTTATGTCGAAGAAGATCACCCTTTAAATGTAAAAGCAATGCGGACAGACAAGTATTGTATATCGGGATAAGTATTCTGTCTAACTACAATTCCTTCGTGAAACTATTAGAATTAAGAATTCTCACGTGTTCGTAACAATCGCCTAAATTTTGATAATTTACTGATCCATAAATCCATACGCCAGTGCATTATTGTGGATACAAGACCATGAATACGAAAATGTGTAAGAAGGACGTTCTACAAGCCGTTATTCTTGCGGATGATTTTACAACAAGTTTAAATCCAGCGCAAAATATATTTCCGAGCATTCTAATGCCCGTGATAAACATACCACTTTTCGATTACATGATAGAAACGTTGATGAAGTCGAAGATACAAGAGGTATTCCTTTATTGCAGCAGTCACATAGATCTGCTGAAAAAATATACCAAGGAAAGGGTTTACAAAGACATTACGATCTCTTTGATCATTTCCGATGGCTGCAGATCACTCGGAGATGCTTTGCGAGATATTGATACAAAAGGATGGATCAGAGGATACTTCATACTGATTCGTGGGAACGCCTTTACCAATACAGATCTTAAAATTTTATTCAATGTTCATCGTATGAAAGCTGAGAAGGATAAGGGAACAACTATGACTATGGTATTACGGAACTTTGGTTCGATGAAGGATTCTTATCTGAATGAGGAAGCGTCTCTAGTTGTGTCAGACAAAAGCACTAATAAAATTCTGTATTACACTAAATTGAAGAACAGTGAGAAAAAAGTAAAGCTAGAATTAAACTGGTTTCTTGATCATAATGAAGTAGAAATTAATTCTTGTTACTTGGATACTCATATCTACTTGTGTTCACCATCTGTTTTGCCACTCTTTGCTGACAACTTTGACTTTCAAGTAAGTAAAACAAGTTGAATTGCTTTTTGTTTAAAATATCAATAGAATTATTTTATAATATTAACATAATTATTTTTAATTATATGTACGAGGGTAAGTCAATAAGTTTTTAGAAAAACATAGTAAAGCAGATTTTTTTTATCGATTCATTTTTTATTTCTCAACATAGTCTCCTTTCAGCTCGATACACTTGATCCAACGATTCTCCAACTCTTTCAAACCGTCGGAATAATATGATTTGTCCAACCCTTTAAAATAAGCCTCTGTTTCGGCGATGAGCTGCTCTCTGGTGGTGAATCTCTTTCCTCCGAACCATTTCTTCAGGTTTGGAAACAGGAAATAGTCGCAGGGGGCTAAATCTGACGAATATGCTGGATGGGGAAGCAATTCGTAGCGGAATTTGTCGAATTTGGCCATTGGTGCCGGACACGTGTGAACCCGTGCATTGTCTTGATGGAAGAGCACTTTCTTCTTCGCCAAATGGGGACGTTTTTTCTTTAAAATGTTGAAACGGTCCAATAAGGCTGCGTAGTAATCACCATTGGTTGTTTGCTTCGACGGAAGGTAATCGATATGAATTATACTACGTGCATCCCAAAAAACTGGCCGTCACCTTTCCGGCCGACTTCACGGTCTTCGCCTTCTTCGGAGCTGGTTCATCCGATGAAGTCCATTGTTTTGACTGTTCCTTCGTCTCGGGTGTGAAGTAATGGATTCATATTTCATCCACAGTAATGAATCGACGCAGAAATTCATCTGGATTACATTGAAACATCTCCAAACATTGTTTTGAAATCGTCACACGGTCGCGCTTATGGTCCACAGTGAGCAAACGCGGCACCCATCTTGCCGACAGCTTTTTCATATCCAATTGTTCATGCAAAATTGAAATCGCTGTGCCATGTGATATGCCTGTGGCCTCAACAAGCTCGCGCACTTTTACTCGTCGATCAGTCAAAACAATATCGTGGACTTTATCGATGATTTCTGGCGTAGCAGCCTCAATTGGACGTTCCGAATGAGGTGCATGACATGTGGATGTACGACCACGTTTAAATTCATTCACCTAATTGTATACAGTCGCAAATGCTAGTGCAGATGTGCTATAAACATTAGCCAACTCGGCTTTGATTTCTTTCGGCGTTAAACCTTTCATATGTAGATGTTTGATCATTGCACGAAACTCGTTTTTTTCCATTTTGCAAAAAATACAAAGGTTTTTCGCTTTAATCGTCTACAGAAATGAAACCACGCGATGAATTCCGTTCAAAATTTGACAGTAATCAGCTGAAAGATGCTACTTGTCAAAAAGTAATGTGACATGACACTGCGAGTGCCCTCTGACAGATTTTCTAAGAATTTATTGACTTGCCCTTGTAATAATGAAACAAATATAATTTACTATTCTTATGTTTTTAGACTATGGACGATTTTATTCGAGGAGTATTGATGAACGAGGAGATTTTGGACTCGAGGATTTATTGGCAGCAGTTAAATGCAGAGGATTATGCTTTGCCAATTACCTCATGGAAGGCTCATCATATACTTACTCAGGATGTTTTGCGTAGACATAGTTTTCCTCTTGCTCCTGATGCTCTGCCATTATTGAAGAACTTTATATGTATGCCGCGGAGTACATATAAACACGAAACTGCTACTTTTGCTAAAGGTTGTTTATTAGAAAAAGATTGTATTCTTGGATCTAATAGTTCGTTAGGAAATAAAACTAAAGTTGCGAGATCTGTAATCGCAGATAATTGCATCATAGGTAGTAATGTTAACATAGATAATTCTTACGTCTTTTCAAACGTTAGAATCAAAGACAATTGCACTATTAAAAGTAGTATCTTATTTCCGAATTGTATTGTTAGATATCGTAGCCAAATAGATGGATGTATATTATGTTCTGGAGTTGACATTGCTGCTCGCAGTCAATACGTCGATATCATTATCGAATCTACATCTTCTGGTATATCTGAGATTAAAATGTCTGATCTTGAGGCTGACGATGGATTCTTGTACTTTAAAAATGCTGAAGTAATTGATTGCGATGACTGCTCCTCAGAATCGTCTAGTAACGAAGAAGTTTTGGAATGTGATTCTCAAATTCCAGACGACATGAATATGTTCTTGTCCGAAGTTATCGATAGTTTGTTACGTGGTTATCAGGATAAACTCAATTGCGAGAATTTAATTCTAGAAATAAACTCGTCCAGGTATGCGTACAACGTCACTATCCGCGAGGTGACGTATAATGTCATTAAAGCGATTCTCAGTCTGCCACTACACTATCTTTCCGAAACGAAGACTGCCGTTACTAATCAGAATTATCAAAAGAATCTGAAAATTATGATAACCTATTTTAACACTATTATTCAGAATTACATTAAGAATGAAAACGCGCAGGAAGACTGTTTGCGTGCTATAGAAGACGTTGTTAGTACAACCGACGAGTTACTGCCGTACGCGCAACACCTGTTGCATCAATTTTACGATCGCGATATACTATCTGAAGAAAAGATTTTAGAATGGTATGAGTCTACTGACGAAAATGCGGACGCGCATCATACAAAAGTAAAGAATGCCGTTCAGCCATTCATTAAATGGCTGCGAGAGGCAGAAGAAGATTCTTCTGGGAGTGATAATTAAATTTATTTCTATTAAAAACATTGTTATATTTAAGGTATGTTTAAGATATATTTAAACTATGTTTCTATAAATGTAAGAGGAAATTATATATATAAAAGTGTCTCCGTATAAATGGCTATCAAATTAAACGGTAATCACTTAGAAAAATTATCTGTTAGAGAATGGAGAGATATGTACAATTTTTATACAATAAAATAAACATTTCAATATAATAAAAGTTGTAGCGTCCGTTCTAACGAGTACAACGATATAACAAATTTTTTTACAAATACAAATTATCGGTTTAAGGTTTTGCGGGCGACTATTACTTTTTCAATTTCGGTGTGGTCAACTCCCGCATCGATTGACTACATATATGATCAGATGATATGTAACACGTCAATCAACGTAGATAATTTTTCTTGGTGATCACAGTGCTTACAACAGAGTTTAATTTAATATTATATTTATTGTGTCTGTGCCTCAGTTTACGAGATAAAAAAGGTGGCCATTTATATGGGGAGTTCTACATGTACGTGTGTGTATTTACGTATATATATATGTGTGTATATATATATGTAATAAAATATGTGAATATATTATTAACAAATTATGACAAAATAACATTCTGTTCTCAACTTCTTTATTTTCGTATCAACCTCTTAATGCTTTATAATATTTAATCTTTGAGCAACGATAAATTACACGCATAAAGTGATAACACGCGCGCCAAGTATACTATACGCGTATGCGTACGTTTATCCGTATAAGTGCACATGACACGTGGATAAAGCCCGCATAGTTTGTGTATTTAATCTTGACCTGCTTTCCGATTATCGAAATAGAATTATCATTCCATAGGTACGTCCATCTCCGCCAGATTGTGCCATGCCAAATGTCGATGATCCGGGAATTTAATCGCATCTATCCAATGTCGAAGACGTGCTCCTTTGCTACCGCAACCTAACATAAGGCCGCCTGTAAATTGTATAAATTGTATAAATGCATATAGTATTATATGTATATACAGGTCGGATAATTAACGTTAAACTTTAATTGTAGGAACCGATGACTTTGGAATTCTAATTATTCTAGATCAGTAATTATAGCTGTAATAATAAAAGAAAAAATCGCTATTCTTTATTTATTTGAGATAGGGAAGATAACGTAACTTTTCTGAAAGATAAATGATAAGCAATGTTTATACTTTGAGTGAATAAGTCACATAAATAAATGACAGAAAAAAACTAATTCTTTTCAATCTTAATTTCTAGTCACGATTATAAAAATAGATACGATTATATAAAAACTATTTATTTATATATTAATTAAATTAAATTTTACTGTTATATCACAGTAAATTTATTTGGTTCAAATAGAATACGGGAGATTTCGGATATATTTTTTAGCAAGGACGTACCTAGCGAACGTGCAACACACGTTACATAATATGCAGACAGCCAAACCAGAAGCGGCTGAAGCCGAAATTTATTGAATTATACTTGGACGTACACATACAACGAAATTGCAATTTCCTGAATGTTGACAGCGTCTTCATTTTAAAATTATCTTTCTCTATTCAAATATATCAATATAAATTAACTTGAATTTCATTTTACTTATTTTTACCAAGATGTAGATTGACTTTAATCTTAATCTAACTTACTCTTTTTCTAATATTTTAGAACTAGCTAGAAAAAGATAGCAAGTTAAAGCTAATCCATAAAAAAATGGACATAAGAGATTAAAGTTAATTTATTTTGATAGAAATGAATACTAAAAGAAGATAATTTTAGTAGAAAAATGAATATTATAGATATTAATTTTAATTTACTCTATCTTTTTTTAGTTCTAAACGAATTCTAAAAGAATTAAACTAGAAAAAGGTACGGTTTATATCTCTAGAATGATTTTTTTTTTTAATCGATTCCTACATAGAAATAACTATAGTATATAGTATGTATATACACACTTCTGGGGCGGCAAAATTATTTTTGCACGCGGATTGCGCGTGCAAAACTCTTTTTGTACTCTCTGCCTTTTAAGACCGTAAATTTTTAACATCCGCTCAGAAATTAAAAAAAAAGATATGGAATGAAGTGATTAATGTTCGCAGTACCCAGATAGTCGTTACTCTTGCCGAAGTCTTTGTCCCACACGGTCAAGCATAGCGTCAACTTCATTAATTCTGTCAAGCGAGTCGCGAAAACGAACTCTTCGTTCCACTCTGGATTCAATGTCTTCCTCTTGATGCTCGTACTCTGCAAGCCGCGGCCGGCCATCTTCTTCCCGGTCAGCTTTTTGGCAGTAGCGCGAGCGGCCGAGTAATCTAGGAACCGTTGCTGCCGATGATTGTCGGTCGCATCTTCGACGAGTGCCAATTTGACAAATGGGTCAGAAAACCCGTTGCTGTCCATGGGCAAGAGATTCGTAGCACGGTGCACGGTAACCAGCAGTGCACGTCGACGCGTGCAATAGCTCAGACTTATCTGGATCTTCCCGCGACCGCTCGAACACATACCCCAGGTTTCCTCTTCGTTGTCCACCTACAACAGAATAATCGATGCTGCAATATATAATATATATATATATATATTATATATGTCGATAAAAATATTTATTTCATATATTTTATCGCATATACAAATTAATTTTACAAACTTATTTTACAAATAATTAATATTTATTTTAAATGAAAGAATATCTCGTTTATCTTCGTTTGCTTTCTTATCACATTGAATATAAAAAGTTAAATTTATTATAATTATAGTATGAATTAAATTTAACAGGTTTAATTATATAAAGCATACTTCTGTATTCAACATACTGGATAATGAGCTTGCAGAGATGTTTTGTAATGTTTCTTTTAATATGAAAAAAAAAATCTCGCCTCTCCTAGGAAGTCTTGGCCCGAGGGGTCGTCCTGGATAATTAGGATGTGCAACGCCTTGCCGGTCGAGATCTAACATGAAAAATTTCTAGCATGTAGTTATTTGCCATCGGATTAACATCCATGTTATAATATTGATTTTTACATCGGTTTCCGTTGTCCCGTAGAAATTCACCGTCTCGTTGAACTCGGGATCGCGTGTCTTGTGTACCGTCTTTGTTCGTAGTCGTCTGCTCGTCGATGCTTTTCCGACGGGCAGTATATTCAGCTTGCAAAAGGGATCGGCGAGACCTTGGATATCCATGGGTCTTAGACGACGTGCACGTTCCACTTTGCACTGGAGGCACTGATCTGCCGGGTCGTATCGCAAGGAGACTTCGAGAGTCCCATAATCTTGTTCCGTTTCTGTTCGATTTCCATATTTTAATAATTCAGTATGTTTGATTTTCTTCAAATTAGACTAAACTGCAAAATTATTGGTTCTTTATTGCTGTACTTCTTTTATGGTCTTTTCTTCACTTTTTCTTGTTAAATTTTCGATATCATTTTTATATTAATATTTCAAATTTCAACGATGCCTTCTATATAACTTTCACAAACATAAAGTTAATTTAATTTTTTGTTACACTTGCATTTCTTAGTTTATTAAAACTCCTTTTTAATTATTAATAATGTTAATTAATTGTTTATGTCTGTAGATTCTTGTTAAAACAAATTTCAATGTTTAATGAGGAATATCATGTATTCTAAAAATGGTCTTCCTTCTTTTTTTGTGAAATCATATAATATTTCATTTAAGTCAAGAAAAAAATTAATAACAAAAATTTTATGTGAAAATGAGAATTATATTAATCAGAAAGTGTGTTTTCAAATTATGAATGACGATCGATCGAATTTTATTCTCGTAAGAGAAAGAATCCTATTTTCGATCGAAGGTATTTAATAATATACCCGCTCGACTCTAAAGCAGGATTCTTTTTCTTATTTGATTTATTTTTCTCGACCTATTTTCTATTTGTAATTTTATTTTATCTGATAACTATGCAATTTTCTTTTATCGCTTCTAATTGTAAGACGTTTTTATTGACCTCGTGGATATTCCAGAGTTCTTTGCATCTTGACTTGGCTGTTGCTGCGAGTGCTGGAGGAGCTGTCCTGGCCCGAGCAGGATCTGCTCGCGTCCCGTTCCGCATTCCTCTCTTGGAGAATCTTTCCCATAGTCTGGAATTGTTCGACCGGTGTGGTCGGTGTCGTCGCTATCGTAGACGCTTTCAGTCTATGGGATGGCGATTTCTTGCATGAGTTCAAACCTCCACCCTGTTCGTTATCATCCTTACCTTACCTGAGAGATTGTACCTGAGAGCCCTTCGACCGGTCTAATGATGTGGAAGTGTCTTTGCGAGTCTCCTCGGTGTCTTCTTCCTCATCATCGTCCGCCTCATGAGCCTTCTCGTCGTCTACGAAAATATCTTCGAAGGATACGCGTTGCTCCACCTGCAATTCGTTCGGGCTTTTGCCACTTGCCCTTGAGCGAGGGCTGATTGAGCCCGTGGGCGAAAGTCGGTTGCATTGAGACGCGATCGAAAGGCAGGACTTGTCCAGCCTGTCGGAACTCGCATCTTCGCGATAGCCTGAAGGTGACAGACCATTTGGCCTTCCTCGAGGACTTTTCGGGGATGAAGTACTAGGTGCAGAACTCGAAATTGTCAGCTTGGTAGGAGTGCTTTCACGATTGCTTGATAGATTCGTAGGTGAATGACCGCGAGCTACTGCGAGTCGTCGTGTTACATCATCGTCGGATGAGGAATCCTGAGCATCGGTTGAGTCCACGGATCTGCATGGACCACCTATCGTCCATGTCGACGTTCTATGACCAGGTCGACACCATCCTCGCTCCTATGTAAAAATTTATACTATTGTATCTTGTATAAGTATAAAGAAAAACTGTCTCTTATTTTCTATCTATACTAATGACAGTAATAATCATAATAAACTTGATTCTATTATTGTTAATTTTTTAAAAATACATATCCCAATATATACATATGTATATACAGAGTGTCCCAAAATTCCCGCATTTGGAATACAGGACATGATAATATTCTTGAGGCTTTCACGGGTGTTACCTATGTGACAATCTTGCGTTTCGCGGGTTTTCTCCGTGTTTAGATCCATTCTTGGAATGTCACAGGACATGATACTTTATGCTAAAAGAAACAACTTTTGTAAAATTGCGTCTGACAAGTAGTTTTGCAGAAGAGCAAGTTGAAGTTATTTGAGTAAACGCACAAATTATTTATTGAACGTAATTTTACTACAGGAAAAAGTCGTTCGTTTTAGCACAAAAAACAACTTTTTCCTTTAGCAAAGTTGCGTCCGATAAGTAGTTTTTGTAGAAGAGCAGCTGGTTGAAGTTAACAAATAAGCGCAAAATTATTTATCGATCGGACACAATTTTACTAAAGAAAAAAGTTGTTTGTTTTAGCATAAAAGCATCATGTTGTGTACTCCGAATGCGCGAATTTTGGAACATCCTGTATATAATGACACTCACATTTTAAAACATGTAATAGGATTAATAAGATTAAATATATAACCATCGAATTTCAATATAATTTTTTCTGTTGATATATACATATATGTCTCTATATGTATATCAACAGAGGAGATTATTGAAACTCGATTGCCATATATTGTTTAATTCTGTTCTATCATGCTTTAAAATGTAAGTGTCATTGCAATATGTTTCGTTATTTCAGTTGTATCTGCAGTGGCAGTATACGATGATTAGATTTAATAGATAGGAGTTAAATCTAGATCAATTCTCTAATTATTTTTATTATTTTTAAATCAGATTTGGTCATCCTAAATCAGTTCTAACTTGAACATGCAATTTTTAAAGATGTAAAAAAAATTTAGAAAGACACTTTGATCTTGCTATTTAGTAATTTTAAACTTTTTTAGATAAGAAAAGGATAAAAATATTTTTAACGTGGAATTTCTAAAAAAAACATTTTCAAAATATAGATAACGAGATAAATATAGATAACGAGAGAAAAACTACGTAAATAAATCACGTTGTAGATTTAATTATATAGTTTTCCAGCTTTTGTAAAGCGAATTATTCGTGGAATTTTGTTTTATGAATTTAATTAAAAAATGCGGGAATTTTTCTCTCATTAAAAATAAATTACATTTTTTTTTAACGAGAAGCAATTTTCGAATAGTTACGAAGAAACAAAAAATAATTAAAATATTTTTTTGGATGCTGCATTTGATTTAAATGCATTATCGGACTTAGAATTAGTATAGTGATATAAAAATCTTTTGATCTCCTTTATTCGAACTTTTATTCTTGCTTCGTCCACGTATACCTTCTTCTCCGGTAGAATATACTTCGGCATGCCTTTGAAGAACCATGCACCGCTTTTCTTCCACATTTCTCTAGTCTCGGCGCAAATTCGGCAGAGAAATTGCTTTTGCGCATTGGATCCATGGGATCTTTGAACGATTCTTTGAACGCCTGTTCTTTCCTGAGCAAATCTCATGACGCGTAACGAACCGTGCGATGAAGTAGTTTCATCATTTTCGTCGTCGTTTCCTTTCGATGGATTAAGTCTAGTGGCCTCGATGCCGCATTTCTGGCAGATGTACTTGCGGCAATCCTTGCAGAGATTCGCGCTCGCCCCTAACACCGCGCCGAACTTTTCGCCGCAGAGTGCGCACGAACAGACACATCGAGCTCCACCGGAGCATCGACGTCCACAGTTACGTCTTTCGTTTGATCTGGTCGATGTTACGATGCACACGTTTCGTTTCATGTTCTCCAGCCTCTCAACGAGTCTACCGACTCGCTCCTGTTCCGACAGATCCAGAGCCTCGGCCCTTTGTATCACCTGTGAAAAATAGCTTGGAGATTGAAATCAACTTAATTTCGATAAGATTATGATTAAAAATCAAATCAACTTTCTTGAGAATATAAAAAATTAACTTTATTTTTTATTAATTTTATAACTTATTTATATTTAAGTTTTAAAAAAATTGTATTGTATCATTATATACAGGGTGTTTCCAAATTAAATGGCAAAACTTCGGGAGCGTGTAGAGGAGTAAAAAACTAAGAAAAAAAG